TCCCTAACCTCCCTGCTTGCTAATTAATGGCTTCACTGAGGCGCCACGCCTTCTGTAGCCGCAGGGCAGGCCGCGCGAATCAGTTGGCCTGGATCTCCCAGGTCCTGCTGCAGGCTGTTGGGATCCCTGGCACTCTATCACCTTTTTTTTTTTTTTTTTTTTTTAGAGACAGGGCTCACAGGAGAATCTGGCCTCAAATTTGGAATCATACTTCCCCAGTCTCCTGAATCACTGGGATTACTGGTGTGCACCACTGTGCTGGGCTTAGGTTTCATATTTTGCATACATTTCTACTTTATTTCAAAATAATTCAGCACTTGAGATTAGGGAGAGCCAGATTAGAGGTAGCAATAGAAATAGATTAGAGATAGCAATAGAAATTATCTTCATTTTGTTAAAGTTTTTTAGTTTGCCAAATAAATGGCATTTTTCATTAATGCCAATGAAATCTCTGAGTGTCTGAATGACTAATTCTTCAGACACCTGCTAATGAGGGGGAAGAGTGCTCACATGTATGGTGTCTCCCGAAGGGGGCTGAGGCAACCTGCCCACAGTGCCCATCCCCAAAGGCAGTGGAGTCCGCACAAACTCCTCCCTAAATTCTGTGAGGCTTGCACCTGGACTATTAAAGAACTGGAAAATTAAGCAGTGATTATTAGGCATCTTGCATTTTTCCTTGTGTGAGTTTGTTTTGTTGTTGTTGTTTGGTGGGGGGTGGGTTGAGGATTGAACTCATTCAATCACTGAGCCTCATCCCCAGCCCTGTTTTGTATTTTCTTTAGAGACAAGAGTTTCACTGAGTTGCTTAGCTCCTCACCATTGCTGAGGCTGGTTTTGAACTCACCATCCTCCTACTTCAATCTCCTGAGCCACTGGGATTACAGGCGTGCCTGGCTCTTTTTGTGATCTTTACACAGGTATTTTTTGATTTAGATGATATAACTTTTTCCAAAAATGTAAGCAGACTTTTGAAATGGAATCATTTATTTTCCCCTTAGCATAGAATGTTGTTTTGCAAATATGATTTAGTTTAAAACCCACAAACAGTTAATAATAGAGCCCTTGCATCTCGAGTGTATGTTTCTCGGCCTCTCTGCCCAATACTTGATGATGTGTCCGGCATTCAAGGACAATTTTTAAGGAAATTTATCATTTGGGTTCTTTGGTGAGGAGTAAATGGTTACGGAGTAACCTGACTCCCTAATCAATGAACTTTTTGTCAAAATGATTTATGTTAATAAATATATTATATGATCAGTGGAATTCTTCATATTTGTTTTAGATAATTTTAAATATGAGCAACTCACCTCTTTCTTTAAGATCCTCAATATAGGCTTTCATAAATTCTTTATCAAAATGTTGCCGTTCCTGTTCACTTTCCATTATCTCATCATCATCTTGACCCTGGGCCTTATCAATAGGATTATCCATCAGACTTATGAATCTATTCAAGAAAGCATGGAAAATACCACATTTCCAACTGTTCATGTTTAAGCAAAAAATTCCTAACGTTAGAAGCCAACCTTTGCAGAGAGCAGTGATTCACGCCTGTCATCCCAGCAGCTCGGGAGGCTGAGACAGGAGGATCACAAGTTCAAAGCCAGCCTCAGCAATGCTCCTTTATCAACCTCCCAAATTGTTGGAATTATAGGTGTGTGCCACCATGCCCAGCCTGTATCTAATCTTTTTATTGAACATTCGTCAGCTCAGAGAGCTTTCATCCGTTACTCTGAGATTGCCAAATTCTACAGCTGCACCATTGGAAGTTATTTCAGTGATGTGATGGTTTTACCCTGACTTCTCTCAGTTGTTCCCTGGTGCCCAAATGGGTTGGATCCTCCTACTTGTCTCACCAGTGATCTTCTCCCCAAACAACATTCCTAACATAGCAGAGGTGGACCCTGGAAGATCCATTCCAGGGGAAGGAGTAGAATAGAACAGGTGGGGAATGTCTTGTACCTCTACTAATCTTGCATTCACGCAGGCAAGAAATGGGTCTCTCTCTTCCCAGCAGTTAAACCTCTGTATTTGTTTGCCACATGTCTTACTGCAGTGACAGAGAGATAAGGAAGACTTAACTCTACGTTGCTAGTGAGCATTTACCAGTGAGAGAGAACCTGTGGCCTTCACAGAAGATGGGTCTCTGGACACAGAGAGAAGGTGGTTCTCGCCAGAGCTTCCCTGGGTGAAGGTTCTGGAAAGGCTCCAAGCTGCTAAGGCTCCAAAATGGTCTCAGGGTAGAAGGGATAGGGGAAACCCCATGGCTCCAAATTTTGGCAGGATGGGCTCCAGGGAGTCACACCAGCTGTCTCAGAGTCATTTGAGGGAATGATGGAGCTGGGGCTTCCACGTCCAGGGTAAGAAAGACTATGTCTCCCCCAGATCCCAGTCTGTTTGTATCACATTTGCATGGATGATTATCTTAGCTTAGGGTGGTTTATGGGTTCATTTAGGAAATCAAAAGGACAAGGCACCCAGGGAGGGTTTCGTGAACAGTGGCTGACCCCCCAGGGACAACCAGCGTATCTGTGCTGAGCAACAGGGGGCTCCTGGCATCCGTCTCCCAATGCCTTCAATCAGCAAGTAGCATTGGTGCAGAAATCCTGTTCCCTGGTTCCCTGAGCTCTATCTTCTCATGCCATGTGCACCAAACTTCCAAATCCAGTGAAAAGCAAACTGGGATCAGGTTCTCCAGGGTAGGAGAACCATCTAATCTGGTTCTGAGACAGGCTCCCAGGCTCTGGAGGCTCTTTGCTCTCTCCCTGTGTCTGACCGTGTCTATCAGGATCTCCGGTCTACTCACTTCAATGGCGTGGAGGAGTCACAAAGGGCAGTTGGGAGCTCCACCAAATGGTCCCCACTGACAACCAGCAAAGTGAGCTTCTTGAGGTTCAGCATGCAGTACGGGAGGTAGGTCAACTTGTTCTTATACAAGAGAAAGCTCTGCAGTTCTTCCAGCCTGAGGAGAAGTAGAGAGGATCAGAACACGAGGACTTGGCCTCCTAGCCAATTACAGATTCCAGAAGGCAACCCCTCCTGATCTGATTCCATCTATGTGATGGGTATGAGAACAAGCTAAACTTTACATTTTAAATAAATAAATAAATAAAACCACACCGGATAATATGATTTTTTTTTTTTTTAAGTTTTTGCTGACTTAATCACCAGTGGAAGACACAGATAAAGCAGCAAGGTAGCTGGACGTGGTAGTGCACCCCTGTAATCCCAGCTGCTTGGGAGGCTAAGGCAGGAGGATCACAAGTTCAAAGCCAACCTCAGCCACTTAGCAAGGCCTAAGCCACTCAGTGAGACCCTGTGTCTAAATAAAATATGAAAAAGGGCTGGGGATGTGGCTCAGTGGTAAAGCACCCCTGGGTTCAATCCCTGGTACCGCCCAAAAAATAAATAAAAAGCAGGATAAATACATTGTACAATTCACAGTAGGTCACCATGGGGCCTCAAAAACCAGTATATCCCTTCCTCTCCGTGTCTCCTGCATTTCCAAGGGCCAACAGAGCACAGGAAAGAAATCACACCAGTGTTAGAATGAGAACAAACAGATTTTGGAAACAGTTTTCCTTTCGCACAGTTTAGAAGCATGGTGACTCTTCTCCCACCATTATATTCTCACACTAAAATGGGAAGAAAACCGCAGAGTGAAAAGGAAATGAGCAAAATATTTTCCAAATATATTTAACTGTTTTCCATTTTATTCTAATTCACTGACCCTCCCTCCATTTGTCCAGAAATCCTGTTCCCTGGATTTTTCTTTCATTCATTTGCAAAGTCGTGACTAATCCCACAGATATTTCACAAAGTTCCTCTCATGTTTCAAACTTGGACAGTCCCCAGTTATTCTCATCAAAAATCCTCTGAGCTCTGACTTCTCATGCCATAGAGAGCATTCTACGCATTGTATGTACAGGAGTAGGAAATGTCATCTGGGGTGGCACTCAGGCCCCGGCCATTGCTGGCCTCTGTCCTAAGAGCTTACTTCTGTCTCTTGATAAATAAGATTGTAGATTCAGGAGGCCAGAGATTGTGTTCCATTCAGCACTTTAAACCCAGCCCACTCATGGGAGCCTGATAATATTGGTGAAATGAATCGATCGATCAATCAGTCTTATATATTTTAGTATAATAATTATTTTTTGAACATGAAATAACCACAAGGATACAGTTTGAAAACAAGCATACTAGTTGTTTGAAAGATTGTGTATTAAAAAAATCAGTAAATGAAAATAATAAATATTGTCCTCACTAATATTCTAAACATAGAGTGATAGGTTTCTATTTTATATGTAATCATTTTCTACTTCTATGGAGTAATGGAAAGGTAATGGCGCTGTTTTATGAAAGAATGAAGCAAATTACAGTTCACCAAGACAGTGAAGAGGTACTCAAATGCATGTATCCATATACATGTGTGATGCCAATTAGAAATTGTTTTATTCTATAATTTCCTAGGAGCAATACACTCTGAAAAATTAATTGATCAATTGATTAAATGATTAATTAATTGATTCAAAGCATATTCAAGTGTCATGCATCTTAACAATGTTCACAGCGTTAAGGCGTTAGTAACTGATTCATATACCTCACCTTCGGCAGGCAAGTAGCTACCTGTCTATATCTTGTGGCAGGTCATTCAGGTTATTGTTGCTGATATCCAGCCACTGCAAATTAGACATCCTCAGGACACAGATCGGGACACTGGAAAACTTGTTTGCTGAGATATCTACGAATGTAACTTGCTTCAAATTACTTAGCTAGAAAGGAATAACAAAATATTCTAATTACCGTTATAAGAGTGGGAATTAAGTTCGATTAATAATTTTTAGATTGACATTTCTTCTTCAAAGGCATCTCTAGGAATCGATGCAAAGCAGACCAATCCAGTATGTATTTTGAAGCATCTCCTATGGATCTTTTCCTGGGTTTCCAAGATAAACTTCACACTGGGGCTGCCCTCAGGGAGCTTCTACTTTCATAAATAAAAAAAGGAGGGGTGGGAACAAAACAAAATCTAGACCCTTCCCTCAATCCATATGTGCTATAACATGAATGAAGAACTTCAGAAATATCATGCTAAGGGAAAGAAGTCAGACTCAGAAAACAATAGCATGATTCTATTTCTAGGAAATTTCCAGAAAAGATAAGCTTCACAGAGATATGAACAGATTTGTGGTTGCCTACTGCTGAGGGCAGAGCAAGGAATAATAGCAAGTAGGCAAAAGGAAAATTGGGGGATAGGTGAAGGAAATATCCTGAAACTGAATCATGGTGAACTATACACTTAGGATGGGTAAATTTTATGACATGTACATCATACCTCAATGAACGGGGGTGGGGAGTAGAAGAAGGGGTGGATACAGCAGCCTACCAGGGTATGCCCCAGTCCAGATGATAGACAGCTCTGGGGTGGATCAGGGTGCTAGGAGAAAAGTTATGAATGAGCAGTGGTCAGACATGATATACTCTGAAGGACCGGCTGGACGGGATTTGTTTAGGTTATACATGGCTCATGAGAGCAAGAGAGATCAAGGATGAATTGATGTACTTCCAGCCAGAACATCCAAGTGAAGACTGAGCCATTCCTGGATTGGGGAAGACTAGAGGATGAGCAGATCTGTGCAGGGAATCCAAAACTCTGCACCCTCACAGGGACAAGCATCAGACATTGTCTGGACTGAGATGGGTGCTAACAGCAGAAGCAGCCACGTCCTCCCACCCAGGAAAGAAATAACATGCTGGGTAATAATCATTTTTAGTAATAATCATTTTTAGCCCATGCCTCACTGGCAGAATTGTATGATCCTTTCTCCGTTTCAGCACAGGAAACTCATTGAGTTTTATTTGACAATGAAAACTGTATACTTTTATCTTCTCCATTTTATCAAAAAATTATTCAAAATCATTTCTCCCTGAACACAGACCAAAAGAAATAAATGAATATTTTTAAAAATTCTGTGCATTTCTTGAATCCTATGACAATTCTAGACATCTACAAGTCGGTTAAGAGCATATGAAAAAAATGTTTTACCCCTGGATTTATCTGCAGTGTAGCCATAGTAGATAAATAAATCAGGATTTGCATCAAAGACGACAGGCATCAGATATTAAATAGGCATAAAATCATAATAGTTCATGTGAAAATAAGATGTTTTCCCTCAACAGCATTTCTAAATGCAGGCCCTGGTCTAGTTTCATAACATTTTTAAAGATGTTATGATTATGGTCATAAGGTAATTGAAATGTCAGAAAAATGTGATGGATTTTATCTTCTAAAAATTCTTGCCCACACCATGGACCATTCCTGTAGGGAACTGAATGAAAGTAAATCATAAAGCAGAAATGTTTTCATCTTACTTCAAATGGGAGCTCCATTAATTCCAGATTTCCAGAACAGTCCAGTCTTTCTAGATTTTCACAGTCCCCTAGTTCTGGTGGAATGCTCTTCAGATGGTTGAAACTCACATTGAGTTCTTTCAGGTTCTTCAAACGACCTGGCATCAGAAAAAGTTAAGCTCCCGTGAGTAGGTCCTTCAGGGTCTTTAAGAACAAAAGCAAGCCAGACTTGTTGGCACCCGCCTGTAATCCCAGAGACAGGAGGCTGAGGCAGGAGGATCCAGGGCATCCTGGGCAACTTAGTGAGATCCTGTCTCAAAATAAATCAATTAAAAAGGGGTGGGAATGTGGCTCAGTGGATAAGTGCCCCACCACCACCAAAACAAAACAAAACAAAACAAAACAAAACTGTATTAAGTCACTTATAAGCACTGTGAGCCTGCCCCCAAATGAGCTGGATATGGTAAAATCTGGCTTCTGGACCAGGCTCTCAAGAAGTCCTCAAGTCAACAGCTGAGTGATGGTGGCCAAGTCATCTGACCTCCCTAGAACTTGCTTTCTCCAATCTATAAAATGAAGGGGCAGGAGATAAAACGGCCCTTTATGTCAAAGTTAGAACTTTTCAGCACTAAAACTTCTAAGCTCCTGTCTGCCTTTCCAGAAACCAGGCAAGGAATAGCGGCATTGACCTTGCCTCGTCTTGACTTTACTTCACACTATTCCCCTGCTTTGTGGATCACTAGTAGAAGAGACAGCACACGTACGTGGGTTCCCTTTATAATCAAGTCCACCAAGGGTGATACAGATGACTCAGGAAGATTCTGCACACGTAACACTAAAGAACACCAAGCTCAGGAAACACAGGGCTTTTACAGCAAGCATCCAGCAAGCCTGCTCTCTGGGGGAGATGTCACCTCATCCTTTAAAGTTAGCAGCGGCATAAACAATCCTGAGATCAGGCTGGGTAAGAGGGTGTTCAGGGGCCTTGTGGTCTTGACACACCTGTTAAGGTATGTGCAAACACCAGAAAAAAGCTCTGAGACCCCTGGAATAGCCCTGCCCAGTGACATACTTAAGCACTTGGAGGAGGAAACCCAGTATTGGCACAGTGTCACCTGCCCAATAGCTTCCTGCTTACCACAGACAAGAGCGCTGGAGTTTCCTGCTACACAACATACCAATTTCAGCTGGAAGACATGAGATTTGGTTTTTTGGCAGATCCAGAATCCTCATTGCTTGAAACAGCTCAATGTATGTAGGAATGATTTGAATCAGGGTATTGCTAATGTGCCATTCTTTCAGGTGTGTCTGCTCCTTCAACGAGTCAGGCAGCTCCTAAGAGAATGAATGACGTGGATCAGAACCAGTCCTCGGTGTGCACAAAGCCCCTGAAACCAGTTCTTATTTAAAGAACAAAAAGCGATGCTGGGCATGGTGGCACAAGGCCTGTAATCCCAGCCCCTCAGGAGACTGAGGCTGGAGGATCGCAAAGTCAAAGTCAAAGTCTCAGCAACTTAGCAAGGCCCTAAGCAACACAGCGAGACCCTTGTCTAAATAAAAAGTGCTGGGGGCAATTATGAAGAATACAAGCAATAATAAGTGTTGGTGAGGATGTGGGGGAAAAGGTACATTCACACATTGTTGGTGGGACTGCAAATTTGTACAACCACTGTGGAAAGCACTATGGAGATACCTCAGAAAACTTGGAATAAAACCACCATTTGACCCAGCTATCCCACTCCTCTGTTTATACCCAACATACTACATACTACAATGACGCAGTCACATCAATATTTATAGCTATGGAACCAACCTAGATGTCCTTCAATGGATGAATGGATAAAGAAAATGTGGTACCTATACACAGTGAAATATTACTCAGTCTTAAAGAAAAATGAAATTATGGCATTTACAGGTAAATGGATGGAACTAGAGAATATCATGCTAAGTGAAATAAGTCAATCCCCCCAAAAAACCAAAGACCAAATGTTTTCTGATAAACTGATGCTGATCCGTAGTGGAGGAAGGGACAAGGGGGGTGGGGGTAAGGGAAGAATGAAGGAACTTTGGATTGTTCAGAGGGGAGTCAGGGGATGGGAAGGACAGTAGAAGGAGACAGACATTATTTCCCTATACACATGTATGATTACACAAGCCAAATGAACCTGAACCATGTACAACCAGAGGAATGAGAAACTGTGCTCCTTTTGTGTACAATATGTCAAAATGGACTCTACTGTAAAATAAATACATAAATAATTTTTAAATAGTGGGGGAGCTGGGGATGTGGAATAGTGGGTTAAGCACCGTGAGGCTCAATCTCTAGTACTAAAAAAAATAAAAATAAAAAAATAAAAAAAAAATTTTTAAATATAGACTATGCTGTCCTACGGAGGGCCACAAGGTCCCAGCTGCCCAGCCTTAGAGAGGTCCAAGAGGATCCCGCTGTTCTTTTCTATGCTGCCATTTCTCAGAGGAAAAGAGGGGCAAACCCAGTCCACAGCAGGTAATGGGCTCCTGTTCACCCACTGGAAAGCTGTCTCAAGGCCAAGGCCTGGGACTCAGTTCACTCCCACTTCCTGCAGACAGTGGGATGCACTCACCTTCCAGTGCTCCCCCGAAAGTTCAAACACAAATGGGTTGCTCTGCTTGCCTCTGTCCTTGGCAAGTGAGCTCGGCCTGGAGAGCGAGTTCCTCTCGATCTTCTCCAGAAGCCTCACGCTGGTGTCAATGAAGCCATTCTTACAGTACTGAGCCTGGGGGATGCCCTTCCTCCTGCACTCGGCAACGAAGTTCCACTCCTCCTTTATCCTGAAACAGGAGCAGAGGCCACAGTCACTCTCTGGGGGAATGGCCACCACGGTCTTGAGAAGCAATCTGGGCCTGGAGCATTGGTTCATGCCTATAATCCCAGCAGTTTAGGAGGCTGAGGTAGGAGGATCACAAGTTCAAAGCCAGCCTCAGCCATTCAGCAAGGCCTTTGGCAACACCCTGCTTCTAAATATTATACAAAAAAATGGCTGGGGGGCTGGGAATATAGCTTAATTGGTAGAGTGCTTGCCTTGAATGCACAAAGCCCTGAGTTCAGTTCCCAGCACCACCAAAAAAAAAAAAAAAAAAAAATGGCTGAGAATATGGCTCAATGGTTAAGCATTGGGTTCAATTCCCAATACAAAAAAAAAGTGATCCCTCCAAAATGTTAATGACCAATAGCACCACCACTGTAAATTGTTGTATTCACAGAACTCTTCTCGATTCATGTCTCTTAACTTTTTTTTTTTATTATTTTTTTTTTAAGAGAGAGAGAGAGAGAATTTTTAATATTTATTTTTTAGTTCTCGGCAGACACAACATCTTTGTTGGTATGTGGTGCTGAGGATCGAACCCGGGCCACACGCATGCCAGGCGAGCGCGCTACCGCTTGAGCCACATCCCCAGCCCCATGTCTCTTAACTTTTCTCGCCTTGTTTCTTAAACCGAACTTGAAGGTAAATTTTGGCAATGGAATGAGATAGCGGCTGTTAAGCCCTATATAATACATCTTTCCTATGTCATTAATTGCAAATTGATATAAATATTTCACAGATTTTTATATAGCCAATGCAAATGGAGAAAGGGAAATTAGACAAACCCCATTCAGAATGATTATACACCAAATATACTTTGTGTTTCTTTTTGAAATGTTTTGTCTTATTGCTTCTGAAACCTAATGAAAGAAAAGTCACAATGAGAATATAAACGATTTCTTAAATGTCCATTCTCTTCCTTGAGAGTAATTAAAATAAATAAAATGTCATTAAGTTCATGCTTTATCACCCATATAATTGAATCTGAAATCTTCTCCAGAATTAATTTTCATAGAACTTCAAATATGAGATAAATATACAAAACAAATGCCATTAGAGTGTTTTACTAATTTTTATTTATTTGTTTATTTTTAAATTTTTGATACTGGAGATTGAACCCAGGGGTGCTCTACTACTGAGCACCAACATTCTAAATAAAATAAAATGTGACTCTTTTAACTTTTTATGTTGAGACAAGGCCTTGCCAAGTTGCTGAGGTTTACCTTGAATTTTCAATCCTCCTGCTTCAGCCAGCCAAGTCTCTGGGATTATGGCCCTTGCACCCAGCAAGCTCTACTCATTAAATCAATAAATGTGTATTGAAATATCTTTTTCCTTAGGAAATGAGCCCACGATCCAAGTCCATCTGGCAAATGCCCTCATTGACTAAAAAATGCTTCACTCAGAACCTGGCAATAGCTCTTTTATTTCTCCCTCTAAATGATCAAGTTTCATTTAGATAGAATGGTTTTCTGTATTTTATCTCTACAGCTTTTAACAGTTGATATGTAATTCATGAGACAAATACAGCAGTATAAAATGAAATACTCTGAAGAGAAGTAGCAGAACAAGTTGAAGGATTTTACATATTTTAGTAAATTTAAGCTAACAAGTTAATTGCCTTTTACGATCAGGCATTCATCAGTTTGTGGTTGTTGTGTTTTGGGGGTTTTTGTTTGTTTTTGTTTTTTGGTACTGGGGATTGAACTCAGGGGCCCTAACCACTGAGCAACATCCCCAGCCCTATTTTGAATTTTATTTAGGGACAGGGTCTCACTGAGTTGCAAAGCACCATTGCTGAGGCTGGCTTTGAACTCATGATCCTCCTGCCTCAGCCTCTAGAGCCACTGGGATTACAGGTGTGCACCACTGCACCCTGTTTGTCAGTGTTTTTAATATATTAATTTCTGTACAGGAAACAGACTCTAAGAAAAAACTAAGTTAACTTTCAAATAGTACTAGTAATCATGAATTATATTATAGAAACACAAACACAACTATAAAGAAGAGAAATTTATTTCCACCGTTGCTAAAGGTTCTGTGAAACTAAAAATTTCTTTCTTGAACATCCCATTTCCCTCCACACCCCTTCACCATGTTCCTCTTCACCTGCACCACCAATTTCAGGGCTGCTCTTCGTACCTTGAGCTGGAAAAGCCTAAAAATCCCCAAGAAGGTTTTTGTCTTAGATTGAAATGAGGCACAGCACAACCAAATGACACTGAGCCTAATTCAGAGTCAATCCTACCTGTGTGAACTGTGTAGAGGTGTTTACACCTTTTGTTGCTTACTTAAGGAGGACAAATATTCTGCCATTTGCCTTCTGGATGTGGGTCTGGACTTCTTTGAGAACTAGTCAACCAATCAGAATCTCATTTCACCTTAACCACGCCCATAGTGCCTCATCCGAGAGTTCTGGTTTGGATTTTTTCACAGAATAAAAGTTATACACATATGCAAAGTCACCTTTCTCCTTCTCATACATTTATCAATCTTGTACACTGCTAATTGGCACTATATAATTTACCATTGTAGTGGCACCCCCTTCCTTCACAGAAAAGTCTTAACTGGGCTTCTCCAGAAATCTTCACCATGGCTGATTTTGGGGCTGTCAGCAAAAGAATCTCTGCAAAAGAGTTCAACGTAGATAAACTTCCTATTTTCATGTTGCCCTGTTTTACTTGGCCACAGGCCAGGAAGAAATCAGCACTCCAGGTGCTGGACACCCCCTTACTAGTTTTTTTACAAACTCATATCCAGTATAATAGTTTGTAGAAGTGTGTAAACAAGGCCTTTGGCCTTGAGCTGGGCTTCACAGAGATGTCTACATTTTTAAGATAAGAGAAGATACAAACTGGGCTCTTCAGTAACAGCTGGCAGGGGGAGGAAAGAAAGGGGAGAAGAAGTTCTCCCCTTCTCAGGTGTTGTCCTTGAAGGGTTAACTTGTCCAGAACAGTGAAAGAAAAAGCTGCTTTTATGTGAACTTCTACAGATTGTGAACTTCTGAGCCCCTCCCCTTACATGCTGGGCATAAAATTCTGAAACCACCTGAACTCAGGGTTCAGGGGACTGATTGATTACAGCAAAAGCTGTGCCCTCTGAACCTGGCTACAGCGAAATAAAACTGTTTCCTGCTATCTTCGGTGCCTTGCCTCATCTGTCCCTAAAACACCATAAATTCATATCTTCCATGAATGCACTTTTTCCAAAACACTAACTCAACTTAGTTTTTGTGTCCATAACTTTCTTTGATTCATACTTTAGGAGTTTATATGAGAGTTCATCCAATTGCATCATTTCAATTTAAGTAAATGTGCCAAATGAATCGTACCTAGATCCAGCTCAACCAGGTGAGGCATGACAGAGAGCTAGCTGCCCCAGGGGCACCAGTAGACATAGCCAGAGCCAAGAGCATCAGAGAGCTACGTGAGTGAGCTCAGTGAAGGCTGGCTAAGCACCGTCTATGGCGTTTGGCAGTAGAGGAAAGGCCAGGGCATCCCTGTCTCCCCTGATCTAACATGGTGCTTGGATTATATGTAGGTTCTTGCAATTATGGGTGTTTCTGTTAACAAGCTGAGTGCACATGTGTTCAGCAACAGCGTCAGGGTTCTGAAGTCCAACGAGGAAAGTGTTGCAGACAGGGAGAAATCCCAGAGGAATAGCATCTTCCTCCAGGGCGACAGTGGTCTGCCTGAATGTCATTCACTAAACAAGCAAGAACAACAGGCACAAAAACACATACTTTTCCAAGGCGCTTTTCTCGAGCCTTTCCGCCTCCTTCTTCTGCCAAGCTTTGTGCTTCTTGACACGAGTTTCCCACAAGGCTCTGACAACAGAAATGTCAAACACCACCACTTTATGTCCCATTGTGGCAGCATGAAATTACCTATTTGAAAAAAAAAAATACATATATCAGGCACACAGAAGAAAATAATTTTAACGTGAACTTTAAAAATGAAATATGAATGAATTGCCTGCCTTAAATAATGATGGCATGCCCTAGGACTTCCAGAATGGCAGTTTCTTATGGTCAGGTACTCTTTACTCTTTGTACTCAAGTCGTAATTCAACACTCACCCTAAGCCAGCTCCTCTAGGGCATCACATCTGTCCCCTACACCTCAGCTGGCTTCCCATAGCCCCTCGGACATTCTCCAAGCCCCATAGCTCCATATTCTAGGGAACTTTCTGATATATGCATCTAATCTTTCCATTAGATTGTCACATACTATACGATAAGTTAAATGAATTAATCACAGCACACACAAACACATGCACACACACAGACATAGTCTCTTCAGTAGAATAGTAGATGTAACTCCTTAGTTATATTAAACCTCCATAAGAAAAAAGGCTTTGGGGAAGCCGAAGCAGGAGGATCCCAAGTTCAAAGCCAACCACAGCAACTTAGGGAAGGCCTAAAGAACTTAGCAAGACCCTGTCTTAAAACAAAAAGGGTTGGGACGTGACTCAGTGGTTAAGCACCCCTGGATTCAATCTCTGGTACCAAATAAATGAATATACTTGAGTGAAGGCACAGTTCCAGCCTGCCTCCTGTGATTCCCATGTCCCTTCACTTTCAGTCTTGGCAATGCACTCAGCTAAATTCCACGTGCACCATCCAGTGACCAGTCTGGAATGTGGGTGGTGACCTGCTTCCTGTTCAGGTTCATGAACAGCCCAGGAGTTCATAAACAACCTTACAAAATTGCTTTTTCCTGGCTCCGTTTTCTCTCTGATGCCTTCCAGATTCCTGGACCTCCCTTTTTCAGTCCTCCAGCCCGAAAACCTGTTCTGAGGAGAAGCATCAAAAGGGCTGTGGCGGGAAACAGCAATGATGGTTTGTTCCACACTCTCAGGACTCCAGTTCTAGACATGTGACCACCAATTGCCACCTGCTAGAGACATTCTCAGGACAGGGGCAGTGAGCCCTGTGGGGAAAGCCTTGGCAGACCTGGTGGGCAGAGAGGTGGGGAGGGGGTTGGAGGATGTCTGCTGCTGTCAGTTCCCACCGTCTGCCCCGTTGACCCCCGGGTAGGTGACCATGGGTTCTCTCCTCCAGTCATCTCAATCAAGGTGGACAGCTGGCTGGAGGCAAGGTCACCTCCTAAGTCCCAACTCCTGAGCTGAGATGTCATTGTTCGTTGCCTGGCAGTTGCCAACAACAGTCTCCAGTGTGTAGATGGCAACCAGCACGGGGCTTAGTCTGCACAAGGCGCAGCTGGCAGGTAGACGGGCGCTGGAAGTGCTGGTCCTCCCGACACTTCCTCCATTCCTCCCTGTTTACAAGGTCCCCTCAGCTTCTGATGCCCTTCCCCACACCCTTCCCTACACACATGGCTTCCTCCACACACCCTCTAAACTTTGGGGATCTCTCCTCAGTCTGGCCTTCCCAGCCTCCCCATTTCAAGGAGAGAGTCTCCTCTTATTTTCTCCATCTGTTACTTATTTACTTCACAGAACTTAATGCAAATTATTTGATTTTTGTGGGTGTTGTTACGTTTGATCTGTCCATGAACCAAACCATAGAAAAACCACAGCTCACTGACAGGAGCCCCCGTCAACACCAAGCAGGTCACACAGCAGCAGATAGGAAGACCCGGAGGGGAGGGAGGCTTGAGCCCTACAAGGGCTGCAGATGCCAGGCTCCTGTTTCTGAACCTCAGTACAGAGACACATGCACTGAGCCAGTGACTTGGTGTGTATTTCTGTCCTTCCATTCCTGGGAACCCTCAGTAACTGACATGTATGTCAATGCAGAAAGACGACCGCAGGTCCATCCACGGGACCAAGTTCCCAATCTAGGGAGGAGAATATGGGCACTAGGGAATGTTTCAGCTCCAAATGCTAATTAGACAGCAGAGACTGAACCAACTGCTGCAGGAGCCAGAAGAGCAATGCCCTGTGGTGGGGAACAGGAGAGGACCAGAGAGACCTAGCAGGAAGGGGAAAGGGCCATCCATACAAGTTTGGTTGAAGGACGTTCCTGCCCACTTCCCCAACTGAGTTATATCAGAATTGCCTTACAGAGCCATCTGCACTCTGGAGCCAGAGGGCATGACTGGAAAAATATGTCCCCTGGCACCAGATCTCTGGTCTTCACTCAGAAGTCATATGCCAGGGGGAAGGGGGAGGCTTTCTGTCCAATGACAGATTGGGCTGCAGGGGGGAAGGGTGCGGAGTGGGTGTCAGGCTAGCACCTCAGACAGCACAGGAAAAATCTGGGGGAGTCTGATAGGAGACTCAACCAAGTCTACCATTTTTTTTTTTTTTTTTTTTGGTGCTCCCTACGTGAAGTTGAGAAAGAGAAAAGAGCAAAGAAAGGAAGGGAGGGAGACAAAGCAGGTACCAGAGTTCACCGGAACCAGCCGGCTCCCTTCTCCCCACCCACTGCCCCTTGGTGCCCCCAGCACCTCTCCCCACTTCCCTCAGGCTGAGCAGCTCCAGCCCTTCCACAGCATCCTTTCAGGGGTGTCCTGCATATGGAGAAGACCCCATCAACAGCCTGGCTGAGCTCAAGAGAATGACTATAGCCTCCAGGAATGGCTAGGGACACCAAGGTGTAATAGGGACCATAAGAGGAGCTTGCATAACTCACAAATTCCATTCCCTCACACACGGCCACTGTCTGGACCCCAGAGTTGGATGGCAGAATGTGCTCCTCATAGAAACAGTGGGCTGGACACTGAGGCGCACGTCTGTCATCCCAGCGGCTCAGGAGGCTGAGGCAGGAGGATCACGAGTTCAAAGCCAGCCTCAGCAACGGGGAGGTCCTAAGCAACTCAGTGAGACCCCTTCTCTAAATAAAATACTATTAAAATAGGGCTGGGGATGTGGCTCAGTGGTCATATGCCCCTGAGCTCAATCCCCAATACCAAAAAGAAAAAAGAAAAAGTGAAACAGTAAGTGACAGGCAGGGCGAAGGGGGGGGACAGGACAGGACATGACACCCAAGTGAGGTCAGTAGAGTCAAAACAATGCAGCCACATTCTGAATTGAATGAACTTTTATGCTACAGGATCCAAATTTCCCCAAAAAACACCAGATTATTTTGATGGTAATTTGTTAAACTAGAGTTTCAAGCCAGGGGAAGCCAGGAAACAGATGGGATGAAGAAGATCAAGTCTGAGTCAGACTGCCTGGGCTGGAATTCTGCCTCTGGCTTAGGTCGCCTGTCCCTGAGGACTTGTCCTCCCCGTTCTGTTGTGGACACAATGGAACAACAGCATCAGCTTACAGAATTAGTGAGAGAGCTACCTGTGATCATTTGAGTCCAATGCTTTAGATGGTGTCCAGCACCAGGAAGGTCAATTATTTAAAGAAAAGAAATTATAACAGACCTTTAGTAATCAAATGTAAGATAAAAGCCCAAAGGTCCATGTGCATCCAAGGCTTTCTCACCCTGCCTGGTTAGTGAGTTTCAAGAGAGACCCGGGCAGAACAGCGGGAGCATCAGGGCTGCTTAAATCTCCCTGGGATCACTTTTCACCCTCGCCCCACCCCTTCCGCGCCCCCTGCCAGAGGGCGGGAGAACTTTCCGGAAGGAAAGACTGCCCGGCCTCCCCACCCCCGCTCCCATCAGGTGCCAATCTTACTTCTCAAGGCCCCGAAAAGACGCAAACAAATTTGATTTATCACTCCTGGACAGAACTTTGGAGCAGATTGAGCTCAGCCTTGGACACTAGGGCAGTGCGCTCAGAGTAACCCATCATCCAGGAGCAGGGTTCGTGGGGACCCTGCCACGGGAGCAGCCCCACGGATGGCACCTACGAGCCCCATCCGCTCTCCCAGTGCCCCACTCAATTGTAGTTTTTGAACTAAAATAGACATGGATGACTCCCTCCCCAGTGTTTTGGGGGATGATGTTCCGTCAGCAATCTGGCTGAGCTCACCGCGCACGGGGGCGACCGGAGCCACCAAGCGCGCGGCAACCATCCAGCAAAGCGCACGCCTCTCCCCCTTGCAGCAGGACAGCCCACCCACCTGCTCCTCTAACATCCCTCCGCCGCCGCCACAGAGACCGGCCTCCACTCACCTCCCTGGTGCGGGTGGTGCAGACAGTCCACGGTCTGGCCACGGGGCCGATCCGGCTTCAAGGCTGTTTACACCCGCGAGCAACACCCGGAGTGGAAGGGCCGCGCTGCCCGGAGCCTCCCGGGCCTGTGCGCTAACAGGCTATATTTGTAAGCAGATAATATGATCTGGAGGACATGTGCTGATAAACTATCTATCTATTCTATGTGACTCAGCCCAGCAGGAGACAAAACAGATTTGGTCGGGGAGGGCTTGGCAAAGGGCACCAGCCCGCCAGTTTGAGCCTCAGAGCAAGATTGTCGGCACGCCTCCGAAAGCACCAGACCTTTTCACGTTAGAAACCCCGAAGTGGAACAAGCAAAATAAGGTCAGAAAGGAGAAAGGGTCGCAGGTTCTTGGCACTCTAGCCTAGGAACCAAACAAGAAGCAGGATTAAAACACATGGCAATGTAAAAGTTTCTTCAGTGTTTGAGGCCAAGTGGAAGGTCTTGATTTCATCCTTTCATATTTTTCTTTGTAATTTCCTAACATAGCAATGGTCCACTTTATGCTTTGAATATAGAACTTGCTGCTCTGTGACTACAATTTATTTTTTAAATGGACAAGTTTCTTTCTCTCTCTCTCCCTCCCCTTGCTCCTCCCTGATCTCTCTCCCTCCCTAATCTCAGGGGAAACAAGATTGCATTTCTTCCCCATCCTAGGCGGAATTATCTGTCCTTGAGCAGTCACCCACCATAGGAATGTAGCATCCAGACTTTGGGGATGGCACCAGATCTCAGAGATGACTATCTCCCAAATTAACAAGTTAATTAAAATTCCAACAGAGAACACATGGAATGTAGCTTTTGAATCACCTCTTTAACCCCCCCCCCAACACACACACACACACACACACACACACACACACACGTTCCTGTTAATGGGCAGAACCTCAGCCTCTGGGATAGGAGTCCCCTGTGTTTCTCCTTTGCTAGCAAAGCAATAAATCTTTTTCCTTTTTATCAAAACCATGTGCTGGTTATTGGATTAGCACTGGGGACAAGGACAAGAGCTTTAGACCTTCATGAATTTAGCTTCTCTTTAGAGAACTTATTAATTGTGCAAATTTGTCTTGTCCAATATGACATGCAACAATAAGGTAATAATTAGTCATGGAACTCCTTGCTGCTCCCAAGAATTCAACCCCTTCCTGCCTGTAACAGCAATGGTTCCTAATACACCTTTGCCTTAAAACTGAAAACCACAGCTTTTATGTCATGTATACAACATAGTTCTAATTACAAAGTTGTTTTATTTTTAAATTATTTTCTATATGGAATATATTCTATTTGCTGAATATATAATTTTTGACATTAATAACAATTATTTTTAATTGTATACTAAGTTATTGATGGGGCCCAAATAAATCTTTGCAACTATATTAAATCTCACCACTAATGTGCTGGATGTGCTTTTTTTTTTGTGGTGCTGGGGATTGAACCCATGGCCTTGTGCATGTGAGGCAAGCACTCTACCAAATGAGTTATATCCCCCCAGCAGGGATGTGCTTTTTATTACTTAGAGTAGAATATTAAAATTATTTTTCTCTCTTGCTAAATAATGTAATAAAGAATTAAAGTCAGCTTACTATAATAGTACATGCATACTGTTATGGTTAGATTTTAGGTGTCCCCCAAAAGTTCATGTGTGAGACAATGCAAGAAATTTCAGAGGTGAACTGATTGGATTATAAGAGCTTTAACCAAATCAGTGCATTAATCAATCCACTTGATTAATTAACCGAGTGCCAACTATAGGCAGGTTGAGTGTGGCTGGAGGAGGTAGATCATTGGGAGTGTGCCTTCAGGTTTATGTTTTGTCCTTGTTGAGTAAAGCACTGTGCCAGCGCTCCCTCTCCCTCTCCCTCTCCCTCTCCCTCTCCCCCTCCCCCTCCCTCTCCCCCTCCCCCTCTCCCATGAACTGAGCCATCTGAAACCATGAGCCCACAGTTGACTAAACACATACCCATGTATGTGTGTGTATACATATATCACAATTCACAACAGCCAAACTATGGAAGCCTAGGTGTCCATCAATGGATGAATGGATAAAGAAAATATTCAGCCATAAAGAAGGATAAATTATGTCATTTTCAAGAAAATGGATGAGGGCTCGGGATGTGGCTCAAGTGGTAGCGCACTTGCCTGGCATGCGTGAGGCACTGGGTTGGATCCTCAGCACCACATAAAAAGAAAGATATTGTGTCCATCTAAAACTAAAAAATAAATATTTAAAAAAGGAAAAAGGAAAAAGGACTTGCCTTCCTGTTTAGAATCTTAAAAAAAAAAAAAAAAAAAGAAAAGAAAAGAAAATGGATGAGAACATTGTTAAGCAAAATAAGCCACACTCAGAAAGTCAAGGGTCATATGTTTTCTCTCTCATATGTAAAAGCTCCAGAGGAAAAATAAAAAGAGGGGTGGTGAGAGTTTCCTAAAAATCAAAGGAAGATCATTAGAGGAAAGGGGGGAGAGGAAAACTGGGAAATTATTTTGGCTAAATTACATTATTATATTGTGTACATGTAGAAATATGATTTTTATAGCCAGGCGCGGTGGCACACGCCTGTAATCCCAGCAACTAGGAAGGTTGAGGCAAGAGGATCGCAAGTTCAAAGCCAGCCTCAGCAATTTAGCGAGGAGCAAGCAACTCAGTGAGACCCTGTCTCTAAATAAAATACAAAATAGGGCTGGGGATGTGGCTTGGTGGTTAAGTGCTCCTTAGTTCTATTCCCGGTACCAATAAATAAATAAATAAATAAATAAATCCTGGTTCAGAACAGAACGCTCTGTCATTTGTTCTAAGATTCATATTTTATTTAGTTTTTCTCTGGAGGAAAAAAAAAATCCAAACTTCTTAACCAACACAATTTTATTCAACTGGCAGAGGCCAGAATTCAGAGCTGAGTCAGTTCATCCCTGTGAGCTGGGATGATAAATGGATGTGTCTCTCTGAAAGCTGACCTCATATCCATCTGATACACCAACAATAGGAACATAATGCTCAGTGTCACCCCCTGCAGGAGGACTTTGCCAATGGTCCAGATCTAAATAAGGAAACCCCATGGCACTTTGTTCACTCCCATTCCGCCAAACAAATGAACAAGATCAGCTGGTCCCATCATACTACAGTGACATGTACATACCCAGGTTTACAGCAGCACAATTCACAGCAGCCAAACTATGGAACCAGCCTAGGTGTCCACCAACAACGGAGGAATGGGAAAAGAAAATGTGGTATATCCACAATGGAGTTTTATTTGGCCATTAAGAAAAATGAAATTGTGTCATTTGCAAGAAAATAAATGGAACGAGAGACCATCATGTTTAAGTGAAATAAGTCATCTGTTTTCTCTCATGTGTGGAAGCTAGAAAAAAGAAAGGAAAAGAAAAGTTGTGAAGGGGTTTCATGAAAATCAAAAGGAGATCAGGAGAGGAAAGAGATCAAGGGTTGGGAGGTGGGATGGAGACAGGAAGTGCTGGGGAGTGATATTGGCCACATTGTACTGAGATATTGTGTGCATGTACGAATATGCAACAAAATACCTCATCACTATGTACAACTATAATGCACCAAGTTTTCTTTTAAAATGATAGAGAGAGAGAGAGAGAGGACTTATTAGGCCAAATGTCAGAACTATTAAAAAGCTACAGTCTGGCATTGGTATAAGAGACAAACAGACCAATGGAACATCTAAGTAAGTATGACATAGAAAAAGTGGAACAATTCATTCCTTATGAAAATAGTATCACACTGGGCTGAGGATGTAGCTTAGTGATAAAGCACTTGTTTAGTATTCCAAGGGCCTGGGTTCAAACCCCAGCACCTCAAAAAAAAAAAAAGTTTAAAAGTATTTATATTCATTATATTTCTGCGGAACAAATTCTTACAAACTTAATGGCTTATTCAATACCCACTTGCCACCTCGGTTTCCATGGGTCAGAAATCCCATCAGTGGGTACATTACAAAGTACCCAGGTCATTTGTGCACAGGACATCTCTTCACTAGAGAACTTTAATCCATTTCTGAAAGCAGCTTGGGCATTGTGCCCCAGCCTCCCACCCTCCACTTGCATTTAATCCATTTCAAAACCATTAAGAGCTGTGAAGAATGCCCGAATGTAATGAAACACAAAATCCACTTAAGAAACACTTTTAAATGAGATGGGCCAGGTCTTGTGAAAACCAAATGGACCTCAGCTTGCCCTCCTAGTGTAACTCTTAGCAGCTTGTCTGCCCATCTGTCTGCTGGGGCCAGTTGGCCTTGACCTGGTCAGTGGGGAATCAGGAAGTGACCACACCTTCTCTATCAGCAGTGTTTGGATCACACTAAAACAGGCACTTGGTTTAGATTATTGGGCTTATCTAAGAGGAGGGCTGGAGCCCAACCTTGGAAATCTCTGGCTCTTTCATTGCTCAGCACAGAATAGCTGGTCAGTATGACATAGGGATTTAGGATAAAGAGATATACTGAGTCCTAAAGGAAATGTCTATGAGATGCACAAAGCACAGTTGTAAATCTTGAACAACAGGCCCTTGGCTCATGCCCTTGTATAATGAGGGGAATTCACAAGCCCAGGAAAAAAGGACATGAAATTGTGCAGCTCCACCCTGGCTCCACCTCCAGTTGGGTCCCGGATAAAGCCCTTCTATAAAGGCTAGATAGCCGGGTTCTCCCTTGAATCCTCCTTCCTAAATAAGCCTCTGTCTATGCCTCTGAAAGGCTCATGCTGAAATTCTTTTCCATCACTTCTTATGCCAAGAACCCCACTGGCCCTGAGTTCAAGTCCCCTCCCCTCTGGGAACTCCTCGGATCCTTCTCCAGAGATATCTCTTCTGTGACACCTTGACTGTTGGGTTTGTTGGTTGTTGGTTTGGGGTTTTTTGTTGTTTGTTTTGTTGGTGCATTTTGGTAGTAGGAATTAAACCTGGGGCACTCTATCATTGAGCTACATCCCCAGCCTTTTTAAATTTATATTATTTTATTTTTTGGTTCTGGGGATTGAACCCAGGGGTGCTTAAACATTGAGCTAAATACCCAGTCCTTTTTATTTTATTTTATTTTTATTTTGAGACAGGATCTGAAAAATTGCTTAGGGCCTCACAAAGTTGCTGAGGCTGGCTCTGAA